CGGATAATGTTTTTGATTTATAACAAAATAATCGTGTTTTAGTTCTAGAATGAAACACTTATGAGGGAATAGATATTATATTTAATTTTCAAGTATTAACTACCTATAATATTTTAAGATATTATAAATTGTTTATTACATAAATATTTGTAGTTTGTAATTTTTGTGATTTTTTACAACATTTGAACTTCAATTAATAAAATTATTCACAAAAAATGATGGCGATGTATTTTTAATAATTATTTATAGATATAAGAATAACTTATGAGGAATTTTGTGTTAAATTTTCAAGAATTTTGACCTATCAAATCTTATTTTTTTTTGACATTTTAGGAAAAAAAATAAAAAACAATAAAAAATGTAATTTATTTATACAGTAAATTCTCGAAATATCTAGTATTATTGATCACCGAAGTTTCAAAATTTTATTTGCTATTTATAGTGAGAGTGAAGGTAAATTATTAAATGAAAATTATTAAAACATATCAAGAAAATGATAAACATATTTATATTTATGTTATTACTATTATTTAAAAAAAGTCAGTTACCAAATGAGATAGACATTTGATGATGAATAAGATGAACCATAATACTATTATAATTATATTATTTGTTAGTATCAATATATTTATTAATTTATATTGTATACTATTTTTTAAACCAAAATCAATTACCGAATGAGACGCGTATTTGGTGGAGAAAATAAACTATAATGTGTAATATGAAAATTGTAATAAAATATAATTAGATAATAATTACTGTACAAATTACCATAACCTTCTCATGTAAGTGTCTGTTATTTAGAGATTTATTTTATACATGAGTAGTGAAATGTTCCCGTTCCCGAAAAAATGTCTGATAGGTATTTAGTGGCGTTTGTCCGTAAAGGGAGATTTCAGTGTTTCACTGTATATTATAACACACAATTATTTGTTTAATGTTTACCTACATGTATTTTTCAAAACTTAATTTTTTTCATCAAATTTGGTAATATTTACTGAATATTAAATACGTCACTATTATTTCGCGCAGAAAAGTTTTATCGCAGAAAAATCAGGCCACAACTTAGCTATTGCTAGAAAAGACGCACACAATACGGAAATACCGGTGTATTAGTGTGTGTAAAAATTTAATTTAATTGTATAAAATAATAAAAATAATATAACATCATTAGAATATTATTTTTTTTTTTTTCAAGAATTTTATGCACTGAGTGCTAAATTGTGTACATGAATTTTTTTTACAAAATATAGTATATTCTGATTTATAAAAAAGTGCTATAATTATTTAACTTATGAACTTTTCGGTTTAACCAAATCTAAATTTGTACAGTGGAAGACATAAGCACCATAATGAGATAAGAACAAAAGAAGTTGTATCGTACAAATGCGCCATAATACTAGGTAACTTAGGAAAACTATTTAAATTTAGAACTAAGTTTATCGTTCAAAAATTCCAAACGTTTAATCTTAATCGACAAATTTATTATATGATTACGATAGATTGTCACATAGACAGTGTTTGAGTAGTTTTGTGTTATACCTACAATTAATTGTTACTATCTATTTCATAAGTATTTTTGTAAGCGTCATTCGTTAAAATGAATTTCACAAAAACAATTACTAATAAAAGTATTGAGTGCATTTTATTTAAAAATCAAAAATATACATTTTGACGAGAAATGGCCAGCGGTAATGTGTCTTGAGGTGTACCAAGAGAAATAATTGTACAATGGAAGAAATTACTAGTATGGTGAAATAAATCGTATGGAATATGTAAAAAAAATTGGAATAAAAAAATCAACCAATTAATTAAAATTATATTTATTTGTATATACATATATTATTGACTTTTTTTTTTTTATAAAATTGAAATATAAAACATAAAACGATACCTTTGGTGATTATGTCATACGTTGGGTATAACAGGTATGATGTTAGATTGACGCTTATGTTCTACACATTTTGGCGCAAATGATATGTAATTTTTGTACCTCTGGCGCTTATGTGATACAGCCAATTTTAAATACAATTTTTCTTTTTTCATTAAAAGGTATAATATGATTATTATAGTATTATCCCCAATTATTATACAACGCATATTTCTTGTAATTATAAAAGTTTAATAGGTACTTAATATTAGTTTAATTTTAATTAATGTTTTTTACACATTTTGGAAACCACTGCTGTTTACTGAAACTTAATAAATCCATACGACATACTTATAACTTAAAACTATATTTTATGACACAAGTAATACAACACAGGGACAGTCTAATTTAATATTTCAGGCTGAAAATTTTTTTGCCAAACTAAAACAACAGGAGACAAATAATTTGGTCATATAAGTATGTTAAAAATATAATAATAATGAGAAAACCTTAACTATTTAAAAAATATTTTCAACATTTAATACTTTAAGCACAATTTATATATTTTTTAAATTCATAATATTATTAAACATTTAAGTTTAGTCGTAACCTATTTAAATTCGCACTTTAGTACTACATAACGATTACTTGAACAAATATAAGTGAATACAAATTTTTCATTTACATGTTCATGGACTCCGTATACATGTAGATATTAATTCACGTTTTCAACTGAGACCCCTAAATATACACATTACACTATTTACACATATAACATTTTATTGATGTAAGTTCTACATATTTAAATGTACTGCCTATATTAAAATTAACTTAAAGTTTTAATTTTTTTACAGGTTTTTTTTCTTAACTTCGCTAGTTTCTCCAATTTTGTCTATAATATTGTATTCTTATTTAATGCAAATAAATGAAATAAAAATGGAAGATGGAACTACTTTATATTATTATTATTATTATTACAACATTGTTTTTGCTATCTACGATAAGTGTGAGCATCAGCGCTCTGTGTATGGTGGCGTTATTATTAGTTGTTTAAAGTATAAAAAATAATAATTATTGTTTATAAATAAATCCCAATACAGGCTATTCTCCCGTATGGCCGTATATATCTGTATGTATATTTTGTACATCGTGTACATTTTTTGAATAAAATATAAAATAGCTTATCCAAAATACACTTGATCACTTTATAATACTACAGTAGACGCCGCTTATAAGACTCACGGATATAAGGTTCAGTCGCTTACTAGACTCAAAATCGTTTGGAACGGTCCGGACGTATCCAAATACATTAAAAAAAAATCGGTTATAAGACTCAACACTTCGGTTATAAGACTCAAATTTCGTAAAATAAATAGTAGAAAATAAATTTTTTTGGTTATAATTTAGAAATAAATTGGTATTGAAAAATTAAATAATATTCGTGTTGATTATTTCTAGTTTCTGTTGGTAACTTATAATATAACATATAATAATTTTTATCGCAACGATAATTTGTTATTATAGTGTACTGATTATCTTACGGCTGCACAGTTATCGTAATTACGGGTACATAAGTATACATATACGTGCACGTGCACATGTACGTATATGCAGTTATCATTGCAGTCAACGGTATAATTGTTGTGCAATGAAAAATTACAAATTTTGTTCAAAAATAATTTTTCAAAATAAATAATTTTTATATGTTATATTTACCTATTATAATTTTAGTTTTTTTTTATCGGGATTATTAAATGTATTTAATAATAAAGTATGTAATATGTAATATGTGTTAATGTATTAAAATCAAAGCAAAATATGTAGTAAAATAAAATTTATAAATACGTAATTAATTTTTTTTCCACTTCGCTTACAAGATTCATTCGGTTATAAGACTCACTTTGTGCTGGTTCCAAAGTGAGTCTTATAAGCGGCGTCTACTGTATTATATTGTTGATTATTATGATTCTTAAAATCACATGAGTAAGTAAGTTGTACTTATGCATTATATATCATATATTTTTATGTAATTTCATATCCAATTTTTTTAATTCCTAAAATATTATCAGGCCATTAAATTTATTAGTGTAACGGGCCAGTCTGCTCGTGATACAACGTGATTACTATAGGTATTAGTACTCGATACATTTTTAATGTTTAAAAATAATATTTTTATAACAAATCACAATTTACAGTTAGTGACGAAATACTAAATAATATTTAACGACAAAAAATAAAAAATATGAACTGCTTTTATTAAATTACTAGCTGGATACCTGGCTTCGTTGTATCGCAATTAAGACTTAAGAATTAAAGTGCAATAATTTATATAATAATATATATTAAAATTTTTATAATTTAATAACTTAATTAAAAAAAAAAAAAAAAAAAAATGTAAAATTATTCAAATACCTCGCCAGAAACCACAATATTAAAATATAATACTTCCTCTCCCCTCAACATCTTAAACAAAAAATGAAAAAATTGGTGACATGAGACACTCAAGAAAGTATTTAAAATAATTCAGAGAAAAAAAACGTAAATAGTTCAATAGTGTCACCAGAATTTCGGTACATTAAAAGGCCTGTTCTTATATATAATGGATAAGGATATAAAATTTTGTTATAGTTATGCTAACTGAAATTATTGATGAGTAAAGTTTATAAAATAGAAAGTTTAATTTTATGTTATATATGTCATTAAGTAATAACTATGACTGTTTTATAAATATTAAATTTTATAAAATAATTTAATAAAGTAATAATACTAATTATATTTAAATACCACATATTTTCATGGTTAACTTAAATACTATAATATTTTTTTTTTCAATAAAATATATTTGTTTTTTCTTGTGGTAATGACTCATTGCCTTAAAGTATCGTATTTGAAACATTTCTATTTTATGTTTTTAATTATATATATTTGTATTTGATAATTAGAATATTAATGTTACTTGGGTGATGAAAAGGTAAAGGCCCCTTCAGACATCACGAGTTGGCGAGTTCTGGGTAAATGTATAGGTAACCCCCTCTACTAGGATAAAATATTAAATACGCTATTGAATCAGTCAGATATAGCTGAAGAAATCGATTACGACGGTGAAGTGAAAGTTTAGTGGAGTGAAAACCAGTGTGCGTGCAATGTGTATAGTTAGAGAGAGCCTCTTTACGATCACGGTCCGCGAAGGCCAGTCTTATCATCCGCACGATGGCTCGCGTACCACCACTGTCATGTCTCTTCGTGCTGTCATTCATCATTTTATACGCGACATCTTGTAAGTACCTATACATTTTTCAAAATATCCAAAAATAATGTATACACTTATACTGTATATATGATCTGTCTAGAACTTTTATTAGATATAATATTAAAAAAAAAAAAATGATCGTATATAAATCGTTTCACGTTCACCCAAAGTCTTACCTTAGTAAAAATAACTATCAATTATTCATTTGATCATCATCTTCGAATAAAAGCATCATACGAATATGTTTTTTTTTTACATTGAGTTTGTGGGCCAGTTAAAAAACCCGGATACACATAATACGTTTCTTTTTTTCAAACCATTTTCATATATTTCCATAATTATACTAATATTTACCTACGATATAATATGTATATGATACATATTACGTGGCAATCGTCATTGACATTCTAAATTATAAAAATCTATTGGTAAATTATGCTTTTGGTGATCATTAAATAATTGATGTAAACGTATGCTTATACTAAAAATAGGCATTTTATGAGAACGCAGCGTATATTATTATTATTGCATAAGCGTGCTTTCGAAAGGACCAATTGAAAAAAATCCTTCAAAAAATATGTTTGATAACTACTTTTGATTAACTTTATATTTTATAATTAATTTAAAACTTACCTTCACCACTTTACAAAATAAATCAGTCAGTTTTACGGCGTGACACCCGTCAAATTGTCATGTCGAGCATAATTTATTTTGGATTGAGGTCACTACAGATGAACAACCCGTCTCGTTAAATTATATGTTAATAATAATATACATATAATTTAATAATTATTAAAATATAATATAATTATACACTTAATTATAATTGATTATAGTCGCTATAACCATGTAATACATCAAATTTCATTTTTTCAATTAATAGCATATTATTCGAATAATATTCAGTATATAATTAGTGAGTGCAGTGAAAAATAATTTGAAAATGGTTTTTGCCAAAATTATAAAATTGAAAAACTATTTACGAGTTGAGAATTTGCAAACGTTAAAATTTTTAAACAAAAAAAAAAGACACTATTATGTAAAAACATTTCATTTTTTATATTAGATACATTTTAAAACTTAAGCCTTTTACTGCAATAGGAATGACCAGTTAATTATTATTAGTGAAGTATTGGATTTTTGATATTTTGTAACTATAGACACTAGTTGACTCGTATATATATATCATTTTGAATATTTTATTTACTTGTTCGATCAAACAATATTTTTTTTTCCATTTTCCTCAAAAAACATTATTATATTTTTGTAATTTTATATAGCTATTTCTTCAGTCTTTACTTCAGATGCTATTAAATATGGTTAATAATAATTATTTGGTTAAGAGTTTTAACTTAAATAAAGAAGGTTAAACAAAGTCTAGAAATATTTCATGTAGGTATAGTCATCAGTAATTGCAACATTACGAAACCGGGTTCAATTGGGTTGAGTAGTAAATAAAACGAGTTTTTTATTGAATCATTTTTTTTCTGAATAACCACGTAACAGACGAAAAAACCGTAGCATACTATAAAAAGAGACATATAATAACTACTATAACGGAACTTTAAAATAATAAATAATTTATCAATAACTTAGTAATAATTTCACAGTTAACGTTTACAATTTAAAAATAATATTCATAGGAATAAAAAAAGCTATAGAACAAAATAAAAATTTACGCTATGCGATTTCTGAGAGTAATATTTTGTGTATACATAGTTAAATTTTTAAGTAAATTTAACTTTATTTTCAAGAGTTTAAATTATTCTAAAGTATCAATGTCAAATATATAATAATTACTTATATAAAGTTTTATATTGACTGTAGAATATAAGTTATGCATAAATGAAATTTAATCTATTAAACATTTAACTGATTAATACATTACATTGATTTGGATTTTTTAATGTTGCATACATTTTTTGTATTCTCTTGGATAATAGTTTTTTTTTTCTATGCCCACGGTTTGTTTATTTCCACACATAATTAAATCAATTGTCAATAATAATTTTAAATTACCGATATTAAAATAGTTTTTCGAGTTAATCACTTACCAAGAGACGTTAAATTCATCCACTTATTTATTTTTTGTCGGAAAGAAATGATTCCTATGGTTGTAGAATACTTAAGGCCACCTCACTATATAAAATAATATTTAGTAAATAAGACAATTAATCGTTCTTCTCTCATAATATTAAAAGTCAACTATCAATTATTATAGTTTGTATACACAGGTTGCTGTAAATTAGTAATCAATATAAGAAAAATAAGATAAACAATTGTCACATTCAACAATTTCTTTACAAATATTAACTATAATATTATTTACTGACAAATTAAGAAAATTATGATGTATTTTTCATGCAAAAAAAATTTTTTTTTTTGTTTATGTTTCTGAACAATTTTGAATGTAAATCGGAAAAAACTTTGACTTCAAGGTAATATAAAAGATTTAATTGTTTTTCAATTTATTTATTTATTATTTTTTTTTTTTAGTTAAAGCAATTACAATTTTTATCCTGATATCCGTTTATACGATTAAATATTTAGGCAAATCATATTTATATGTATAAACCAGTTTTGGGAAATAAAAATGAACGTATAATCTGATCATAATAATCAAACACCATTGTCCATTACATATTTTTAGTTAGAATAAAAAATATTCTTAAATCAAAAAAATTAAATAATATACGTATGTTAAATGACATTACATTATTGTTCTAGAAATATAAAAACATTCTGATTAACCAGTTTATTATTATTTATTCCTTTATAATGCTATAGAAAGAGCAGATGCCAATTTTATTTATCGAGAGCGCGATTATTTCTAAGATAAAATATTTTTTTTAAATACCGGATACCACACTATATCTTGAAGATTTTTATCATAGGTACACATAGAGATGTTGTTTAAATATTTTCATTAATGTGCTGTAGAAGGCAGCGTTTAGTAATAGACCATTTTACGTTCTTAAATATCTCTGGGAACAAACATAACAATTTATTTACACGGTGTACTGTAATATTATTTCTGGTAACGCAAGTTTATGTACGTATTACTTGAATGTTTTTATAATATAATTATAAATATTAGAATATCCACAGAGTGACATAGTAAGAAATTATTTATTATTTAAAAAAAAAATAATATTATCTTGACTAAGAGATAATCTAATCATAATATATTATTACATTATATTTATTATTTATTACATATTATAAAAAAAAAAAAAAAATAAATATTTGAACGACTACGTTGGCAGTGAGAGTATAATAATTATGTCTGATAGTATATATTATAAGTGTTATTTAATATATCTAGGACAACTGGTTATAGTACTTACATTGCTATACATCATGCGTTTGGCGTCCATATTTTTTAATGCATAATAATACGTGTATCATAATATAAGTTTCATGCATTTATAGTAAGTATGTTTATATTATGTTTTTCTCAGATCAAATTCTAATTACAAACACAAAATAAGTGTTGGATTTTTTTAACAAAAAAAAAGTAATTGATAAATGCATTTCCTACGTATGTGCATTGTACATACGTGTGTAGTGTACAAGTGATTTGTCGTAAAACTCTCATCAATATTGTTACGCATAGCGTGTTAGGCACACGGTTATATATATTATTCGTATATGTGTAAAGTATATAGGAATATTATACAGTATATCCAAGAATTTTTGTATCATTTTTAGTATTCCATAGAAAATCGATATATTTAAATGAGGTTTTTAAACAGCAATAAAAAAGAAAATTCCAATTTGAATAGTATAGTTTCAAAAAAAATATTTATGCGATTTAATATACAAAAATTTTCACAAATTTTGAAATAGTTTTAAAAAAAATGTTGAAATTGACTAAGTTAAAGATTTCGTATGGGAGTTATCAAAACACAAATCTTAATTGAACATGGATTTTTTATTAAAATTAAAAATTTTTATTCGTTGGTAAGACTTTATATTTTTCCAAATTTGGATCCCGGTTTGTTCTATTACTCAATCACAAAATTGTAAATGCGTTTCTTTATCACCTGCATGAAATTGTTCAACAAATTTTATCTTATTTTTATTTCACGTTCTATAATCGAATGATTTGCTTAATTTAGCTTCTATGCACTAATAACGTACGGATCATTTTGGAAAATTAACTACCTATATACTTCTATAAATGTCAATGGTGTGGTTAACATTCATTGCACTCTTTGATCTAGGTACCTCATCTATTTCACTCATTGATATTACATAAAAGTTTAAATTTTAATAAAATTGAAATAATTCAATACTATAGTGCTAAATTATATGATAATTAATATCTATTCAGTTTAGTAAATATTCAATCAATTTTAATATTTTTTTTGTTCAAACCGTTAAAAAAAAATTATCTTGAAAATCTAAATTGCATAAAACTTATTTTTGGAAATTTCGAAATTTTTAAAAAAACAATTTTGAAATTAACGTCATTTAATTTAAATTTTCTTACTAATTTTTGTAAAAAAAAAAAAAAAAAACAGCATTTAAGTATATTGACTTTTTACAAAGATACTAAGGACGGTACTGGATTTATAAGATACTCTGTACATAGTTTATAATATTTAACAGCAGTGCCGTCAGACAACATGAATCATTCAACTTTTTTTTTTTAATATAGGAAATAAAATGATTCCTATGTTGACTAATATAAATGATAATACTAAATTGAATAATTGTGTGCATTATATAGGTTCCTCCTATAATTTATTTCATGAATGTACATATAATACCGTGTGTTAAAATTATTAGAAAATGTGAATTTCAATTTGGTTTCTAAATCAATAAAAATATTTGTCTCGTGCTCACAAATAAAACGATAACTGCAGGTAGAGTAGAATTCTTAATATTTTCTTAGTACCTATACATTTTTAGTTTAGAATATTTATCTAAAACGATATTCTCTTTATTACAATTGTATATTATTATTGTATTTATACTATAATTTAATAAATTAATAATTATTTTACGACATATTTTCCTGAAAATAACAATATTTTAAATGTATGGTCAATTTAAAAAAATATAAATAATACCTATAATAATGTAATTATGTGTAGAAGAAATATTATATTATTTTCAAATAAAATTTAAATTGATATTCTCCACACAATGTTTTTGAAGATTTACCTAATATGTAATTACATTCTAAATGTTTTATATATAAGATAGAAAAAAATTTTTTTATAATATTTTTGAGTAAAAATTAAAAATATATAATCACCTATTCTCTATTGACATTTTGAAAAACAAAAGAAATTATACAAAATTATAAATAATGAAAATTATTGTTATTTTCATCTTCATTTGGTAATTAGTCCTAATTAATCCTAAACACAATGTTTCACTGTTTTATAGATGTAAATGCAACCATTTTTGTGCCTGAAGAAATTCCATCATTGTTGTCAGTAGTCTACAGTAACATGCCACCAATCAAAAAAGGTAAAGATCAATAACAAATAAATATAATTTAGATATTAATCAAGTACCAAATTAATAAAAATTAAATGATATTGATAGCTTAATAGTTATAATATACAGTAGACTGTAGAGTCTTGTTAGTACTTCCGGATTATTGAAAAAACTAGATATTTAAATAGAAATTTGGTAAAAATTATAATTAATTTATTTTCATTACACTTTTATTGAATTATGCGTGTAGTTAATATAACCAAGAAGTTTATAATTTTTGTCGAAATTCCAAATTATTATCAAACATTCAATATGATTAAATTATTAATGCAGTAATTTGAAAATAAAATTATTTACTGACATGATAAAAATATGGAAAATTACTGAGCGTGTTGGAATATCAAGGCTACAGTAGTTATTAATGTTATAGATTTATATTTAGGATAAATTTACCTATAGGTACCTATAACATTATATTAGAAATTGAATGCGTAAGTACATTTTATGTTTTTGTAATGGTGTGAAATATGTAAAATAATTTGAAATTAATTTTAATTTGATTAATTAATTCGTAGCTAAAATATATAGTCTCAGTATATATTTATTTTTTGATTCATCCAAGCGTATAACAGCTGCAAAAATAACTTTATCTAATTAATATTTTTAAATTCAGAATTTTAAAAATTATTAGATATTTTACTTATTTCACTATTTTTTAATATATATTAGATGTTTTTGTTTCATCAAAAGTAAAATCTAATAAATAAATAAACATGTTATTTGGTTTTATAGGCCTTAAATGTAAAGTTAAAAGTTTAAGTTGATCGTAAAAATATAAATTTCTAAACTTTTTTTGAATTAATGTTAAATACATTATTTTATTACTTTTGTTTAAAACTTTTAAATGGCAACCACTTTTCAAAGAAAGAAACTGTTTTATTAATTCATATTTAAATAAATAAAACTTTCATTTAAATAAAAGCTAAATAAATTATAAATAGGTAATATGATGATGACTTATGAGTTTTATTTATTTATTTTTTTATTATTTTAATAAAACGTTAGATATTAATTTATTTTAAGAAATTGTTATATTTATATTTCTATATTTTCAGTTTGTAGTATTTGTTTGTTTAAATGCAATTGAAAGTATAAACACAATCATATAAATGCATATGGTATGCTTTTTATGCTTTTTCTGATCTCACTATAACCATACCAACACATTTATCTGATGAGTGACCTGAAATTTTCATGGAACTATTCTTAAATGATTTTGTAATTTTCTGCAGGTACGGACTCGAGACTGGGTGTGGGATTCCGATTGGGTCCGAACGCTGACGTGCAGTTCCAGTTAGAACTCGGGCCGCAAACTAACACGTTGCCGATCGGTGGCACCGCATCTACACCCGCAGTGGCGAATAAGAGGCACGCGACTGTAGGACAGGGTAGTGGCTCAAATGGTGGCAAACCAAAGGACTGGCTAAGTGCGTGGCGGTTGCAGATGAGCCCTGGGTACGTGGCAGACGAAAGCAATAACGCGGTCTCAGGGGAAGCGCCGGGTGGCAGCGCCGGCGACGGATCCATGGACGCGGTGGCGCACCTCAGACAGCTGTACAAACCACAACCAATGGTCGTGTAACTGGAACACTACGCCATTAATAATTAAGATTTTAATTTAAACCGAACGATATTTATTTTTTCCCATTGTCCCTTTGTTTTGTAAAAGCAGTACAAGTTGATGTTTAATCAATTATTTAGGTATTTATTAGTATTGTTAGTGATATTTTTTATGTGTATATATTACGTAGGTATATTAGAATTCTAATCGAACGATCGCTTGTAATGAATAATTAGAAAAAAAAATTATACACAGCGTGATGATAAAAAAACTTGGATATTTAATGAATGAACCTAAAAAAAACTAGGTCCACTGGTTATTCTATTGCTTTAGTTTAACGATCCAGCATTCATCATTTGACCTAATTTTTGTGTAACAATTAGTTAATCGTTATTTTATCAAGACCGAGATCAGTCGACAAAATTTAGACTATGAGACACATTGATCTAAATACACCAACACATTCAAATTATCGACGTTTTACCTAGCGTGCGCACGATTTGAAGGGCATCTCAGCATCTGACCTTACGTGTTTTTCACCGATTTTGGTTCTTGCTGCTGTAAAATGTGTAACCCATTCGTACGCACGTAATTGAACTCGTGTTTCAATTGATTACTGTCAGTTATTCGCCGGATTACACAAGAAACTTTATAACGACTACGGTTGCTCGTTTTTCACATCACACATTTTTCAATTTCGCGACACTACACCAATAACTTTAAAAAAATCATACAGCACACAATTTAACACCAATCACTATCAAACTTGGTAGACTAGTATATGCATTTATAAATCTTATAACAAGATAATTTATGATTATTATTGATTAATAAAATTGCATCAAAAATCAGTGTTAAAAAAGCTTGAAAATATCACAGATAATTATATTTTACTTGAGAACGTACTGGATTATGTAAATAAAAAATACTTAACCAATGATCACGACAGTATTCTCTTCGAAATAAAGTGTATGTTCTCTCAAACGCTTTGCAATAAGTGTCACTAATTTGTTTGTATATTTTTAACTATGAATGACGCATGTAGTATCCACTGATCAAAAATATTGTTGGTTTTTGCAAACTACATGACAACTTAGAAAAATATTATACTCAGTCTAGACACAAATGCATAGTATTTTATAATAAAAAAGAAAAACATGGGAAGTTTTGGATCGAATATTTATTTTTTATTCAATGATGTTTGATTGATTAGAGATTTATCATTTTATAGATTGATTTTAATCGTTTTTATAATTACATATAATTCAATTTATTTTTAAGCTCTCATTTTGATAATTTCAATTGGTTTAAGTCTGATTCTTGATCATAGATAATTTTGGATCATATCGGTATTATTTTTGTATCTATATATATTTCCATTGTATATATTTTACGAAAATGATTTACACAAAAAATATAAATAATTAAATTGTTGATGTTGATTGGATGATATATTGTTTTTTTAAATTATTATTGACATAATTTAATTTATAAACTGAAAACATTCATTCTACAACAATGCGGTTTCCGACCTAGGATTGTATCCAATTAGTGTTTTAGAGGTTTTTTTATAGGTTAAGAGCGCATAATAACCTTGTTATTTTATAAGTATTAGAAAAAAAAAATTCTGAAATAATTAAATAAGAAAAGTTTTAAGCCCCAAAAGAATAGAGAAAAATTTACGCAAATATTGACTTTTCACTGAAACCAGACAGCTATAACTACATAATATGCTTAAATTTTAATTTCGATAAAAATTATCAAAATCTAGCCATATAAGTGTCTGCTGATTAGAATGTCTCGTACTCGTACATAGAGGTTTTTCTACAGATAAGTAATGAAGATGTTCTCATTTCCGCAAAAATGGTCGCTAAGATAGGTTTCACTATATATGATATTATATATTAATATAAATAACTTAAAATATAATAAAATCTATCTATAAATACTTAAAAGAATATAATAGATAATATCTTAAAATAAATCAAAAATATCATTGCATGTAGTAAAATTCATAATAATATACGTAAAAATTTTAAGTTTCACAATTAATAATAAATTATAATAAAATAATTAATATTGATATTTATTGTTTAAATATTTAATTTCGTTCAAATTTGAGTTGAAAATTTAAAAAAAAAAATATACGAAAAAAAGTATATTTAATTTATTTATTAATAGTAATATTAATATATTTATATATTATTTTAGATTTTATGGTTTTAGTATAAACTATTTATCAGTAATTTTGTATTCAACTTTCAAATTTTAGATATAGAAAGAAAAGTTTTTAATTTCTAACTATAAATTCAAAAAAAAGTGTATCTACGTAATTTTAATATTTTTATACAGATATAAGAAAAACTTAGGGATCATGTTTACATTTTCAAGAATTTTGATTCATTCAATAATTTTTATCAACATTTAAGGAAATAAAAATTGAAAATTTCTCATGCCAATTTAAAGATCTAAAAAGAATTAAAATTTGTTTTAAAATGATGATTTAAAAATTTAGTGAAAATTTCTAGTATCTACTATAATATTATCTGTTGAAATATACCAAAATTTCAAAAATAGTTAAGAGTATAAACCTACTAAATATAAGTTAAAAAACGAAAAATGTTACGAATTTCTAACTACAAATAGTTGGCTTTCATTGCGATTTTGAAAAATGTCACCAAAATTTTAACTTTAAATGTTGATAAAAAAATATATTTGATTATAGATTTTCAATATTTTTTACTTGAGAAATAACCAACTTATAAAGAGTTTTGTATTAAAATTTCAAGGATTTTTACTCAGAGAATATATAGCTCAAATTAAGTTGAAATATTTTAAAACTTTGATCGTTAATAGAAAATTACTGACACGAAATCGTTTGTAAAGAGCTATTTATTTTAAATCTAAATCGTAAATGACAGCGTCATCTAGCGACAAAACTTAACAACCGTCGGACGTGCTTGGTGCTAGTATGTCAAAAGTTAAAAAAACAACAGCAGATAATGCTCCTTATATCATCTAAGCCAGTGGATCCGTTGAAAAATTCAAAAACTCGACCTAAAGGAGGTGACATACGTAATAAATACACACTAATAACTATTTTCATATTGTTTTTACTCCGACGGTTTTAAGAAACTTATTTTTGTTATTAATACAGTATTAACTATTACAATAATACATTTCAACACAAAACGTTGTCTATGTAAGTAATGTTATACTTTGTTTTTACATATTATGATTTTATAAAACTATCAGATATCATTATGAATTTATTATACTTGATAACCGGATGTTAAGTTCCACATATCAAATTTATATTTTTCAAAAAATGCATTTCATTTTAAAAATAAAACTTGGCATACCGAATGTTTTAATGATATTTTGTAAATATTTTTTGTCGTCATAAATACGCATTTTAAATAATTTAATTTTTAATTTTTAATTTCTACTTGAAATATTTTTGAGGTAATATGTTTAAATTATATAACCTTAAAATGATTTATTGACGTTTTAAAAACATTTATTTGTCATCGTTAATACAAAAATATATTCTAGATTCATTTATAAATATTATACTTTAATTTAGTTTAGTAACAGAAACGTTTAACTTAAATACGATCGCCAAATTGGTGTAGATTATATAACAAATAATTTGTAGTGTAGTGGTAATACTATCTATTTTTGTCGCAGACTACACAACGCACAACTCTTATTCGTAATTTGTGTAAAGAATGTCCCTCATTCTTGAGCAACGCGCCATGCGCGTTTCGCAGACATCAAATTTTCCATTTTTTGTGTATTTTGAGTCCTGCAAATTTATATAGATACCATTTTAAATTTATTTACAACAATGATTGATGTCATTAGCCGACTTCCTTACTGCTTGGGAACCGTCCCAATATATTAATACGTTTCAAGGTAAGCTTAATATTATAATAAGCTAACTCATTGCAAAAATGTATGGATAATATCCAAGGACAATACCTAGTTTTATAACTACATTACTATTAAATTGTATTTATTATACTAAAAATAACTATTTCCTAATCATAATATGATAGCATTAATTAAATAATAAATAGCTATATTATTAATATTTTTTTTACAGTTCAATATTATTCTATTACATGATTCACTAAAATCCAAATTTATTATTGGTAAATACCTACCTAATTAATATTGATAGAAATCAGTAATATTTGTGTTTCTCTAGGTACTATTATTTACAAAAACACATAGGTATTTAAAAAAAAATTAACAATATAAATACAAAAACCATTTAACAACAATTTAAAATTTGAATAATATTTAAAATGTTTAAAATTATAGGCTAGACAATTTAAACAGTATAATTCATTCTATTACAATAAAATAAATTATGTAAAACAGAGTTGTTTACTTGAATACATAAATATTAGATATTATTTTAAATTACATAAAAATTAATTAAATTTTTTAATGATAACATGAAATATTTTGTAAAACATATGTTGGTGATGATAATGTAAATATGAATTTATATTTCTTGTACAAAGAATAAAAAAAACTTATTTAAATTTTTAAAAATGTTTGTTTTAAACTCTCTCTTATAAATTTATTACGTTATGATTATACCAGAAGATTTTAATTGTTAAAAAAAACATATTTTTTGCTAAGGAAAATTAAGTTTATAATGATTTTTAGATATTTTTTTTAATAGCTAATGTAATTGATATGAAAATCATTCCTTGTCTAAACAATAAAAAGATAAAATAATTGATACTGGCTATTAATAACAAGGCTAGATTTATTACAAATCTAGAACAGTAGAAATCTATGATCGTTCAAGGATTACTAAATAATGTAAATACTGTAACTTATGAATTCTTCTTTTAATTTGAATATTTATTATTTAAAAAATATATATAACTTCAGTAATAAGCAAAATATTGATTTGATTCGTAAATAAAATTAACTTAGTCACTAAATCTAATATACATTTTTATTATATTTTGATTTAACAATGTCTTTATTCTTATTGTTTAAAATTCATTCAAGAATAAAATTTTTAATTAAAAAAATTTTTTATATTTTAATAGTTATGCGTTTTTCCCGAAAATTCACAGGAACACTGCTATCGAGTTTTTAGTCTG